CAAGATTTGCCTTCCATCCACATAAGCGTGTTGACATTCTCCAACCACCATATCTATGACTCGTGCCAACCTCTTCGTAAGGACCTTAGCTATAATCTTATAAATACATACAACAAGGCTTATGAGTATGAAGTCTTTTATGTTACAAGCCCCCCCAAACTTGGCAATAAGAACCAAGAAAGTAGTATTGAGGGATTTAACAAAAGATCCAGCTTTATGCAACTCCTGAAAGAGGTCCACAATGTATTTCTTCATTATATGCCAGAATTCCTGAAGAAAACCCATGTTGAATCCATTTGGGCAGGTGCCTTATCTTTTCTACATGACTTGAAACCATCAAAGACCTCATCTTTAGAAAAGTGTCTCTCCAACTCGAGTCTACTGCTTCATTAAATGTTCTAAATTCCAACCTATCCAGTTTTCATCTCCATCCCTCCTCTTCTTTGTAGAGTCCACAGAAATAGTACTAACCTTCCTCCTTAATTGCTCATTCCCCACCATAATTCTACTATCAATCTCCAAAGACTACACATTGTTATTTCTTGTATGGTGACTTGCCATGCAATAGAAATACCTGGTGTTACAGTCCCACTCCTCAACCCATCTATCTCTCGACTTCTATCCCCATCCTCATTAGGATGACATTATTAGTAATGATTGAAGAAAAGACATTAGTGCTCAAACAGTGCTTGGATAGAGGATTTGAAATTAAAGAAATAGGGAGACTAAAATGCATGGCATTGGAGTGGCTCATTCGGAAGTTGGAAATTTTTATCTCTTCAAGTGTTGGGATAATAGTCATTTTCACTTGAAAAGTAAACTTCCTATGAATTTAAAGTTTCTTAATGCAATTTGTTGGAGAGTCTTCAAATTGGTCAGGATGGTAACAGTATGGAGATTTCTCATTTGTTTGCTGATGGTTCTCTCTTGTTCTGCAACTTGTACCTGAGAGTTTTCAAGCAGTTACTAGGCTTAAGGGTAATTGGAGCAAATCTGAGATCATTTAGCTGGTAGGATCATTAATGGAGGATTTGGTGATCATATTGCAGAGATGATGGTGAAGAGATTATAGGATGGAAGAAATGCTCTCCTTCAACTTGAATGAATAACCTATGGATCATTTGGGATTTAAGGTTTGGAAGAAAAGTAATTCCTTATTTGAGAAGCCTGGAAGAAGCCAGTATGGTTGACCTAGAGCTAAGTTGAGATAAAAGATGCTTTAGGTTCTATATTGTTTCACTAGAAAAGATCCTGTTATTTTTCAACCATTGATGGTTCAACAGGTTTTCAGATAGATTTTCTTATAGCCTTGTAGAACCATTCTATCTAGCTCCATGACACCTAGCTGGTTGACTATTAAGCTGTCGATGAGATTTTCTTGTATGCCTCGGTCAATGTTACTGGCTTTAGGTTGTTCCTGAAGGATATTAGCAACAAGCCCTACCATTTCGACCACGACTAGATGGATTATTGCAGTCCTATGCTTTCCTCATGTTGAACAGAAGAATAA